CACCAAAAGCTCTGATAAGTGACTGCGGATGGTAGGCAGCCTGCAGAAGGCAGCTGCGGACCAGTGCTTTAAAAGTCTTGGCTTTCCAATCAGAGGACCCCTGGTCTGGCCAGGCCACTATTTAGTGATCGGAAAGTCACTCAAACCCTTGAGCCCGAGGTGTCTTAGCTGTAATATCAACCTCCCCAGATCACTATCAGATGCAAAGAGGAGAAGGTGCACATACAGATCACTTTGTAAACTGTGCAATACTCCAGAAATGAAAAGCATCACTCGCACCAATTACACGCATGCGATCACTTGATGTGACAACCAAAGCAAGCCCAGGGAGTTAGTAACCCATCGTCACCAACTTGTCACTGCAGGGAGGTCCACTGCTTGCCTGCGGTTGCAGGACAAGGGAATGCAGAAGTTGTGGACCTAAGCCAGGAGGCAGAGCCCGAGCTTCCCCTCTAGTTAGGAATATTCCGACGGAGGTCGGGCACAAGGCAGATCTGCGAGGGAAAAAGCATTTTTATGATCAGAGGCAGAGGGGGAGTCACCTGTGACTCACCCATTTGTCGATGCCTACATAGTAAGAATTCCTATAAACCCCTCTCATGGTCCGACCAGGGCAAGCACTGAGCCCTGTTGACTGGGATAGAATACTGAGCACTTCTCCTGTGTTAGAACCCTCGCCCATAATACTCTACACAAGACACTGCGAGATGAAAGAGAGAGGAGGTGAGAGAGCAGAGGCTATTTCCCTGTTTGCTCCTAATCTCACTGCTGTTAGAGTCATTAAGCCTGCACCCAGCAGGGATAGGAACCATTGCTTTGTGGAGTTGGAAGGAATTCCCATTATGCTATAATTCCAGAACCTGAGATACCTCTGAAAAAGAGGTCAGAATGACTGGCTTTTTCCATCACTGCTGCCACAGAAAGGTGTCTGCTTTCTCTATAACTTCTGGTGATCTGCCTCTCAGCACCATGCTGGTCTCCTCCACGGCCACTCCTTTCGTTTGTTGTGGGGCCTTCCCGAGCAGGCTGGGCTTCTCTCGCTGTTTTAAACAAACCTGACATCGCAGAAGGCCCAGGACAGCAGGCGGCAGGATGATTCGGTTGCTAGCTCTAGGCTCCTTCTGCCCTCCATGACCATCACGCGTGCCCTTGGATCACAAGCAGCTTCTGCAGGGAGGCGGCCAGGCTCCACGGCCAGTCGTTTAGGGGAAAGTAGAAATCTGCTGCTATTTTTCATTAAAGTTGTGCAGCTTCCCCGGACCTGGCTGCAGCCATGCTGCTGAGGCCTCTGCTTTGACTTTTTCCATGAGCACACCTGGGTCGTTAAGACCGGTAAGCAGGCACGCAGATTTCATTAGCAGGCTTCCTCACAGCGGGATCAGCAGGCAAAAGTCCTCTGGTGAAGAGGAGTGAGACTCGAGAGGACCTGGCAGCCGGCTGATCTGCTCCAGGGAGAGTGGGAGAGCGTGGTCAAAGGCCCAGGTTCTTCCTTTCCTATTTTAAGCAGGTGCAATGTCTTGGCTAAGTCCCTTCTCCACTTTTTGACTCCGTTCATGCATTTTTAATATAGTTAACATTTATTGAGCATACTGTGGTGCCAGGCACAGAATTCTTTTCTATACAGCAGCCTGTTTGATTCTCAAAACCTTAGTAAATACACTTGCCATCTCCAATTAACAGATGAGTCTACTGAGGCTCAATGAAGCTGATGGATTTGTTCCATGTCCGACTGCAGAGGAGTTCTGTCCTCAAGTAGAGGGTAGGCCTTTAACCTCATGCTAAATGGAGAAGAGAAGAGCACGTAGCTCTTGGACATTCTTCCAGGGTCAAACGAATCAACATGGTGCATGTGTTTGTCCAGCACACAGGAGAACACGGCACAGGATGACAATACTGAGATGTTTTCTTGCCTGTTGTTGCTTCTCTGACCTCTACAAAAGTCACAGCTAAACCTACTTTGCTGACACTGTACAGCGCACGGAAGCAGTGCCGTCGCTCATCTTCCAGCCAAGGCCACAGCACATGACTGTTTCAAAGAAACCTGGGAGGTCAAGGAGCGCTTTAATTAAAACATCAGCACGACACGAGGAAAAGCACAAGCCACGACTGAGCTCTCCAAAACAGATTCTTCTTGGAAATGCTGGCATCTCTCAAGGAGAAAAAGGCTGGCCTTGGCAAGCAGCAGCGGGAGACTGCTGAGCAGGAGATTTGCTGGGGGAAGAAGGAAGGAAGGGAAGAGACGCAAGGTCCGCAGAGAGGCTCCTGCCGCATTGTCCTGTGCCCATCCTGAGCTCCGGGCAGAGATCCAGAACCACTCCACTCCAGAGACTCGGCGCACTCAGAGCTGCCCACTACCAAGTGCATTTCCAGGGATGACAGCGTTGGACTCTCACAGCAATAGCCCTGAGGACCTGCAGCTTATTCCCATTTCCCAGAGGAGGACAAGGAGGGGTGGGGCAACCGAGGAAGTGCCTAACTCACACACCTGGGAGACACTTGGAAGCCCTGGGGACTCTGCCCCCTGCTGTGCCTGGACTGCAGCCCTGCTAAGCAGGCTGGGAACGATCCCATGGAGGCCGTGAGCCTAGGACCATATCTGTCACTGTGCCTTTCCTATCTCAGCACATTCTAGTGGGTTCCCTGAGGGCATTCAATTAACAGATCCTCCAACTGTCAAAAACACCTGTTGCAATCTAAGCACAAGGTACGGTGTAAATTATTTGTCTTCTGAGACAAACACTTTTTTCAGGAAAAGCCATTCTTCCTAGAGAACTCAGGCCCACGACCATCAGATTGGAGCAAATAGTAAAATTAGACCTTTCATTTTTCAGTTTTGGAACACAAAGATCCTTAGTCCACCTTTCAGAACCGACCACAGTTGCCAAATGCACTGTTTTTCTTTTAAAGGTTGGAAAGAATTCTCCGAGCCTCCCTTCCCCCTCCCCAAATTCAAGCTGTTGATTGTGTGCTTGGTTTACGATGTTATTAAAAAACAAAGAGGGGTCTCAAAGTTTATAACCAACCCCCAGAGTGGGCAAGTCAAAAGAAAAACTTCATGAAATGTGGTTCATGAAACATCAGCAGCTTATATTTATTAGGTCCAGAGTAGGCAAGACAAGCTAACTGCCTATCCCCCTGAATGGTTCATTTGGATAGATTAGCCATCCTGAAATTTAAGTCTGCAAGATGGAATGAGTGCTTTAGAATAAACCAGACACAGACTTGAAGCCCAATGTTTACCAGCTATAGACTTTGAGCTTTAGTCTTTCCATCTGTATGATGGGAATACTAGCACGTATCTCACATTTAATGTTCTTTAAAAAAAAAGATTTACTTTATTTATTTGAAAGGCAGGGGGCCGGCATTGTGGCCTAGTGGGTAAAGCCACCACCTGCAGTGCCAGCATCTCATATGGGCGCCAGTTCAAGTCTCGGCTGCTCCACTTTCAATCCAGTTCTGTGCTATGGCCTGGGAAGCCAGTAGAAGATGGCCCAAGTCCTTGGGCCCCTGCATCTGAGTGGGAGACCCAGAAGAAGCTCCTGCCTCCTGATTTCATTTGGGTGCAGCTCTGGCCCTTGTGGCCAACTGGGGAGTGAACTGGAGGATGGAAGACCTCTCTCTCTCTTTCTCTCTCTCTCTCTCTGCCTCTCCTTTTCTCTCTGTGTAACTCTTTTAAATGAACAAATCTTTAAAAAAAAAAAAAAAGGCAGAGTTACAGAAAGAAGGGAGAAATATAGAGAGGTCTTCCATCTGCTGGTTCACTCCCCAAATGGCCACAACAGCTGTGGCTTGGCCAAGCAGAAGCCAGGAACCAGCAGCCCCCTCCGGTCTCCCACATGAGTGCATGGACCCAAGCATTCGGGTCATCTTCCACTGCTTTCCCAGGCCATTAGGAGGAAGCTGGATTGGAAGTGGAGCAGCCGGGACAGGAACCGGTGCCCATTTGGGATGCTGGCAACTCAGGCAGCAGCTTAACTGCTACACCACTATACTGGCCCCACATTCAGTGTTCTGAATGTTAGCTCTCTTCTTCTTGGCTTTCTAATACAGGCCGAAGACAACCATGCTCAACAGAAAGGCGACTCCAGGATCCACAACAGAGAATTTATGGCCCTGGTGGAGATGATGCCTATATCCCTTTCACCCACATGGCAGTGGTTCACGGGTAAAGACCAAACTTAGAAAACACTGGAGGTGTGGCATGGGCAGCTGTGAATGCAGGACTCACAGATTCCAGGACTGGATTTCAATGACCCTCCCCTTCCCTTGCCCCAAATGAACACATCTAACACAGAGTGGTGGCCTTCCAAATAGGGCCCAGATCGGCTATGCCCTAACACCTGTGAAGTTACTACTATTGCTGAAAATCATCCAAACCTCATCAAAGTCCATTTTTGTCACAACCTCAATGAGGGCCATGACCTAGAAAGGAAGACCTGGACGTGTAAATCCGGACTTTATCCCTCTATGCAGGTAATCTCAGCAACGAAGCTTGCAGAATATTTCCGTATTCATGATCTCTGTCACTCCTTACTGCAGTGCCCAGAAGCAAGACAATGAGCCTTGGCTTCCACCATGCCTCACTCGAGAGTGGAGGACCAGGTCTAGTTACTCCGTCTCTGGGTTCCAAATTCCATGTACCATGGCCCCACAGCCACTGGGCAAGAGAACTAAACAATGGCAGTGGTGTCCTCACTGTGTGGCAGCACGGCAAAGGTGTGCAGAGAACACACAGTGACAGCAGGCAAGGTTCTCAGAAAAGTGCTTAGCATCTATTTACTTCACAGCAAAGGTTGGCTTTCTGTAATAGTATTAACCACCTGAAATAAAGAATTTCAATCCAATGAAATTCTTGGTAGATGCCTGCTGGCTTGGTTGGCCTGTGCTGGGAGGAAGTCTCAGTTGGCACAGCACCTGTCTCTGTCAGCTTGGGTATCCTACAATATTACACTACAGGAAGAAGTGAGACAGGATGGAGCACGCGCAGTCTGAATGCTTACCGCAAGAATGGCAATGACGATCCCCACGGCGCAGAGCACAGCGTCATTGATGGTCTCGCCAGTTTTCACGGGGTACTTGATGCTTTCGTCATTGCAGTAGAACCCTCGGTGGTAAGGCTTGATGGTGCTGGTCTCGATGATAAGGAAGGGCAGGCCCGCTGCTCGAGGCAGAGCAGGAAAAGAACACAAGGAAAGACAAAAACATCAATGCAAGGAAGACAGAGGAAGGAGTTAGAGCAATGCCAACTCACACTCATCACATCATTAGCTCCTTTCCTTTGAACCATTTACGGCCCACGGAGAGCCTTCTCTACACACACCCCCTTCCTTCATCAGGAGAGGAGCACTTGCCCTTGCCTTGCCCAAGAGTTTAAACGGCGGCAGTGGACGAAACGGGACAGGAGTTTCCCACTGCTCTATGACACCCTGCTAAAAATTACAGACACAGTTGCAAGAACTACTAGTATAGTTTCCAATGCAATGGAAGCTCATTATGCCTGCAACAGCATTCTTTTCTTGAGTCTTCACCATTTCACCCTAAGGCTGTGCTACATGGAGTAGCCAAGGCCTTGGAGTCAGATAATCTGGACTTGAATCCCAGACGCCCCACTTCCCAGCCATGTGACCTCTGGTTCTTACTCCACCTCTCTTTCCCCACGATAAAATGAATTTTAATGACAACTAATGGATATCAAAGCCCACAAAATTTCCAGCACAGGGTCTGGCACTCAGTAACTGCTCAGTGAGTTCCTTGGCAAGTCTTTTCTTTCACTGTTCAGAGAGTCACCAACACAACTGAGCAGAGCTGAGTCTGGCGCTGTTGTTTGCAGACCTGGAGAGGAGCCCAAGGGCATCCAGGACCATCAGGCGGCTCTTACAGCTGCCGCTGGTTATCAGCGGCCAGCTCAGATGCCATTCTCTCAAAGGTCATGGCAAATAGATTCCACCACCTGCCAGGAAGAGCCTCTTACAGTCCCAAAGCAAAACGCAGAGGTCTACAGCTCCCACCGAAACATGACCACAGCCCCCTTCCTTGGTCTGCTGCCCCCTCTGACTTCTAAGTATCCCCACCATTTTACTTCCTGAAGAGCTCTGACCGTGAGCATGGCCCTGCCTTGCTATAGTCTCTTCAATGGCTCTCCATTGCTCAGGGTAAGTTAAAGTCCCCAAGTGTAAAATTAGGCATTGCCCTTGAACTGATCCCCTTCTCTGCAGCCTCCTGGCCTGATGCTCCTCTCCATACACCCTCCATGCAGATGGCACACAGAGACTGGGTTCCTCCTACCCTACCCTCCCAGACAGAAATACCTCTTCTTCCTGACTGCTCAGCTTTAATATCAAGCTCCAATGCCCCCTCACAGGGTAAAAAGTGAAGCACTGAGTCTCAGGACCAAGGAAGATCTACGAAAGCATCTTGGTGGTAACAGTTCCATAGCTGTGCACACGCAGTGTGCTAGGTACTTTATGTTCATTTTGGCATTGAATCCTTACTACCCTCAAGAGATCATTCTAAGGCATCCACTGTGCACTCCTCTCTCATCTCCAAGTGGAGAGAACAGACTCAGTGAGATTATTTAGCTTACTCAGGGCCTCTCAGTCCACCGCCCCAAGGCCTAAGTCCCTAATTTAACTTTGCAAATTGGTTTCATCCAATTGTGAAATTCATTAGCTGAAAAAAACCCATGATAAGCAGTTGTTGAAAACATAAAATTCCACCTTCATGTTTTTCAAAAAGAATTAAATTTGCGTCATGTTGCTCGAAGCCCTAGACCGCCACTAACAAACATGTAGCATGAACTCCACAATTTTTCAATTACTTGGGTCCAGCCCGGCAGCGAGAAAAATGTTCGCTTTCTAAAAAGTGTATTTATGTATCACTGTGCATACACACAGGGATTTATTTGGTTTTATTCTTTGAATTTATTTGAATTCTACGGCTATTTATTTGGTGACCCCTAACTGCTTCCTGCTAGAACAACAATTTACTTTATCAAATTCATACTAGAGCTTTGAAAAGAAGGAACAGCAACACACCACGGTATTGTGTTTGACCTTCTCAAAGTAAACACTGAGGGGCCCTGACAGGCCCTAACCACCAGTGCTGGAAACTCTGTGTCTGCCCTGGAGCAGAGCGGGCAGGGAGGCAGAGGGCAAAGGCGCTGGCTTAGAAATGATGAGCGCAGTCAGCTGATCTTTTTGGGTCGGGGGCCCTGGGAGAGATACCATACAGGCCAGACCATCTTCATCCCACTACTTAAACATTTTGAAATGAGACCAAATTGGCCATGAAAAGTGGCTGAGGAGCCAACAGTCTGATATTAATAGTCTGCTTTTAAAGTTCCACGCATCGTGATAAAAATGCTTGAGCTTCGAGTCCAAGCCTGGCTGTGGCCTCCGTGGTGCCTGGGAGCCAAAGCGTTGCTAATAAACTCAGGAAGGGGACGGACTCTGAGTTCCTTACATTTGTGCCCCCTCTTAGGCCTGCAGCTTCTATTTTTAATACAGTTCACATGATAGGCCTGTAAAACATATGTTCCTGAGGACAATAAAGCACATAGAAAAGAGCTTTGGAGTTAGAACTGGGTTAATGATCTCTATTCTGCTCCGCACAATTTGAGCAAGTTATTTCACATCTCTAAAACTCTCTGCCACCTGTTTCAGGGACAAAGGAACTCTCATTGTTGGGGTAACAGAATAAATTAGTATTCACATATTCACACATTTATTTATTTCTAGATTCATTACTATGCATGCTAAGTACAGGGAGACAAAGATGGCCCAGGCCCTGCCCTCAGAGAGCAGCCAGTCTAGCAGAGGAAGACCCTAGAAGGAAGCTTCAGTTGGATGCAGGCAAGGCGACGTCACCAGGGAATGGTGGCCCAGAGTCAGAGTCACAGTGTGGACACTCAGTAAGTGTTAAAAGCAAGTCTCACGGAGATGGCTAGGGAAGAAAATCTGGCGAGCTCCTCTGCCTTCTCTTCAACTGGGAACAATCCAAATCCTTTTCTTCTTTCTTTGCCTATGGCCTGGGGAGGGTTTCCGCTTCTGATTATGTGGCTGGGGACCACAAACAGCCAAGAAGTTGGATCTGAATATTCGCTGTTGATTTTCTTGAAAGGCATGAAGATAGTATTCAGAAAACCCAATGGCTTTCTCTGTCTCCCCTACACACTTGCAGTATTACTGGGGGTGATGCCAGTCAAATCTTGACTTTGCTCCAAAAAGAGGATAAGCTCAAACTCCCTTCTGCTGATGCAAACAGCATAAACATTGCCCCAGCTGAGCAGCTAGTCAAGAGACAATATCGTGCCTTGCCGCTCTAGGACACAGAGAAGAGACTGTCCTTTCCCAAAGCATTTTCTCTGCCTCTAACACTGGCACCATCTTTATTACCAACCAGTGCAGACCCTTCCCAGTCCATCTAAAGACAGTCCCTAGTGCTAGACTGTGGGAGGACTGTGGAGGGGAGTACAGCATAACACCCGCCCTCAAGAAGTGCATCGAGTTGTAAGAAAGTCCCAAGAACAAGTGCATGAAAATATTTCTAGTGTGATGACTGACAGTGCAGACACTAAACATCACTCTGATAGGGACACCTAAGATGGGCTACATGGACAGAACGTTTGCCTTTACCCTTATGTGAGTAAAAAGAGGTTTCTGGAACCCGGGGGCCAAGTATTCTCCAGAAAATCATCAGTGCAGTTTAGGGAATGTGGAAGTGACAGTCACACAACTGATGGGTACTATAAGACAATTTTTATTTAAAAATTGTAAAGGTTTATTTATTTATTTTAAAGGCAAAGTGACAGAAAGAGAGAGAGACGAACAGACAGGGGAGAGAGAGGGAGAGAGAGAGAGAGAGAGATATGCCATCTGCTGGCTCACTCCCCAAATAGCCACAATAGCTGGGGCTGGACCAGACTGAAACAAGGAGGCTAGAGTTCCTCTGGGCCACCCATGTGGATGACAAGAGCCCAAGTTCTTGACCCATTTTCTGCTGCTTTCCCATGTGCATTAGCAGGGAGATGGATTGGAAGCAAAGAAGCCAGGACTTGAACTGATGCTACAATATAGGAGCCGGTATTGTAAGCAGTGGCTTAACCTGCTGCACCATGACACCGGCAGCCATAGAACAATTTTTACATTTTGCTGTAGAGCTGGAAAAAGTATATAAGTCAAAGAAGGGAAGAAAAGGAAAAACAGCACCAAGGATAGTAGTAGTTAACATTTACTAAACAACTATTATGTGCCCAAATTGTATTGAGTATCCCCACTTAAACTATCACAGTCTGCCAAATCTAGCTGCCTCCTATGCTCTCGGCACTGACTAGGCTACTGGGATGAAACAGGCTAAGTCCCAACCTTCAAGTGGTCCAAAGGCCACTGGAGAAATAGTCATAAAACCTAACACGTTAAGCCACCCTAAGCTTCTAAGAGATTAAAAGGACTTACTGGAGTCACTGTGCAATTAAGTGATGGAGCTAGATGAAGTTCAAGTGGCCTGGCTCTAGATCGTGCGTGCTTCTAAAGTGGGTCACGTAAAACAAAGAGAAGGAAGCACCCTTAAGTGTTAACAAATTAATTGAAGGTCAGTAAGTCTCAGGAGCTCTGCCGATAAAATGCAAAAACACTTTGTTTGGAACAGTCAAGGCCACAGAACTAGCTGAGATTTGCTTTACATTCACCGTGTGCCACATGTGTGCTAACAAGCACCTAATGTGATCAAATCAAAACTGGGAAGCCAATATGCTGCAATCTAGATTCATTAATAAGAAAAGGTGCATTATGAACTTTCTGTAGAGCAGGGCCAGAAACAAAAAGCCTGGTGATTCTAGACCGAGGCACAAGCATTTCTCCTTCTTTTAATCAAGGATCAATTAACTTCCTATACCTCCAGGGACGTCTTGGGACATGTAGGCTGCAGAGGAGGCGAAATACGAACTCACCGACAAACACTTAATGGGCAGAAAATCAAAGCATGAAGAAAGGCCCCTGTGTTGGGTTCAGCCCTTTGAAACTTCTCCGGCTTTGAAAAACTAACACTTGGTCAGGTTGGGTGGTTTGGGGGTGGGGTGTAAAACAACATCGGATAAGTTTTCCCGGCCCACCCATTGATAAAGTCATGTGGGAAGTGTTACCAAAGTGACCCAGCCTCAAA